ACACTACTACTACTACTACTACTACTACTACTTACTACTACTACTACTACTACTACTACTACTACTACTACTACTACTACGACTACTACTACTACTACTACTACTACTACTACTACTACTACTACTACTACTACTACTACTACTACTACTACTACTACTACTACTACTACTACTACTACTACTACTACTACTACTACTACTACTACTACTACTACTACTACTACTACTACTACTACTATGCTATTACTACTACCACACATACTCGTACTCCTACTCCTACTCCTACTACTACCTACTACCTACTACTCATACACTGGGGGGGCAGTAGGGCACCTTGCCGGTGGTTGGCCTGGCTTGCCCCAGGGCAGCCGCTGGCACGACAGCCTCTGGGTTGTACGGCCGCCGCCGCCGCAGAAGGTGCTACCACCAATCCCTGCCTCGGGAGCCCTGCGCCTGCCTCGGCGGGTGAGGTTTCCCTTGGCGGGACCGTGGCCAGTGCTGTGGGGTTCCTCGGAGTGGGAGGGGAGGCCTGTGTCCCGTTCCACTTGACGCGTGTGGCCTGGCCGCACGCGTCACCATTGCGCCGCCCGCGAGCCGCCGCCAAGCCTCTCCACTCTCCAACTGTCCCCGACGACCCATTGCCGCCAACTGCCGCTTATCCCACTCTTCTCCTCTTCATCGGTCATTACCAGGTGCCTGCCCTTCCTCCTCCTCCTCCTCCTCCTCCTCCTCCTCCTCCTCCTCCTCCTCCTCCTCCTCCTCCTCCTCCTCCTCCCCAGGATGCTAGGGGACTTCGCTACCCCGCCCCTTGGGGGGGGGTCTGCTTGTCGCTCTCCCTCCTGTTTACCCTACAGAGTATCACTTTGTTCCCCCCTGGGTCGACCGACCCTGAGGGGTGATGGCTGCGTCTGAACGACCACGTAACCAACAGCTCGAAGCTCGAAGGAGGACTCAGTCCAAGACAGCACCTCCCAACATTACACGCCTGAGGCCGCCGTGACGTACAGCGAGCACATTCGCCCGAGCCGCCGAAAGGAGGAGGAGGAGGAAAAGGAGGAGAAGAGAAGAGAAGAGAAGAGAAGAGAAGAAGAAGAAGAAGTAGAAGAAGAAGGAGTGGGAGGAACCAGAGGCTCGAGAGACAAGCCGGGCGGAGACCCCGCACGCTGGGGAGGGCACCCCCCCCTTGGTCCTGGGAGTAGCCTACCCGCTCGCCGTCCACCCAGGCCATGACGGCGGGCCCCGCAGCCTGGAACACGAGGCGCACGCGGCGCCCCGCGCCCAGCCAGTCGGGGGGCACGTCGAACCGCGTGCGGTACACGCCCGTGGGGTTCTGATGGGGCACCGCGGGCATGCGCAGGAGGGGCCAGGCGGTGAACGGGAATATCATGTTAGTGTAGCAGGGCGGGCTGTAGCCCAGCATCTGCCAGTTCGACGGCACTGGCACCACGTCCCACCTTCGGCGGTGACTCATGGGGGCCTCCTCTGCCATCTGGCTGGCCCTGGCGAATCGACGCTGACCGACGCTGACTGGCACGGACCGAAGCGAATCGACGCTAGTCCACGCCAAATCGACGCCCATCGACGCGACATCTGCGATGTCTCGTCGACTCTCGTACGCTGGCCCACGCTGGTGCACTCCAAGCACGGACTTTCGAGGACACACACACACACAAGGCTCCCAAGATTTGCTACCGCATGCCACCCCTTCTCGTCCAGGGCGGCCCCACCGCGCGGGCTGCGGGGACTGGGCGCCTGCGCCGCGGCCTGCGCGGCCACCGGGGTGGGGAAGAGCTTGAACTGCCATGCGCAGCGCTTCCCCAGGTCGCGCACCCGCGGGGAGGCGCCGCGGGCCCTCGCCTGCGCCGCGTCGGGGTAGGACCGCAGCGGCGCGTGGGCCGGGACCTTGCCGTCCGCGAAGACGCGCGGGTCCTCCCAGGGCCTCCGCCGCAGCCGCCAGCAGGGCCACCAAATCAGGCGGCGGAGCCGCAGCAAGACGGACACGAACAGCAGCTGGAAGCCCCACGCGCGGGCCGCGCAGAGGCACGTGGCCAGGGACGCCGCACAGGCCGCGCCCCAGAGCCAAGCGGGCGGCAGCCCGCCGAGCGCCAGGCCGCCGTCCGCCTCAACAGGCTCACGTCACGACGACGTCGGCGGATGGCTTCTGACACCGCGCGCATCGTCCAACCGATAACCGCCGCCGCCGCTGCGCCGCCGCTGCCGCCGCCGCTGCGCCGCCGCTGCGCCCGCCTCTGCCGCCGCCGCTGCACTCGCTGCTGCACCGCCGCCGCGGATCGTTGGATGTCGGCCAGGTCCGGGTCACCGGTGGCGTTCAACCTTGAGCGCCTGGGCCAGGGTCGCCGCCGCGACCTGGTCGGCCCTCTCCCAGCGCGGGTTCTGACCAGGACTCCCGGGCGGATCCGGCCGTGGCGGCGAGGGCCGCCCAGGAGGCCCAGAAATGGCGAGAACGGGGGAGGGGTGAGGGGGACCATCGGTGTTTTCCTCGACGCCACCGTCGCCGCCGCCGCACTGGCCGTCGTCGTCGTGAAGGTCGTCGTCGTCGTCGTCGTCGTCGTCGTCGTCGTCGTCGTCGTCGTCGTCGTCGTCGTCGTCGTCGTCGTCGTCGTCGTCGTCGTCGTCGTCGTCGTCGTCGTCGTCGTCGTCGTCGTCGTCGTCGTCGTCCGTCGTCGTCGTCGTCGTCGTCGTCGTCGTCGTCGTCGTCGTCGTCGTCGTCGTCGTCGTCGTCGTCGTCGTCGTCGTCGTCGTCGTCGTCGTCGTCGTCGTCGTCGTCGTCGTCGTCGTCGTCGTCGTCGTCGTCGTCTTGAACGCCGTCGTCATGAACGTCGTCGTCATCGTCGTGGACGCCGTCGTCGTCGAGAACGTCGTCGTCGTCGCCGCCGTCGTCGCCTGCGCGAACGGCGCGGCCGCACACCCGGCGAGCAGCAGCGCCGCCGCGATCTGCAGGTCTGGCCAGCAGCCCATGGCCGCCCAAAGGTCCAGGCGTGCTCAACAGCTCCACCCAGCGCGCGCAGGGTCCGCTCGCTCGAGCCGCTGAGGCTATGGAGGGAAGACAACCTGGACCCCCTCGCGTCGGAGGAGCCGCTGTTGGCGCAAAAAACACCGATCCAAACATGTTGAGTCGACGGGGCCACCCCCAGGCCCCACATTTCAATGTTGCCGTCGCTGTCTATGTAGAACGTAGAAGTGCAATCATCGGCATAATCAACGCCCGTGCAATCATCGGCATAATCAACGCTCAGACCTCAAACCCGCAGGCACATCCGTTTTCAACACTGGAATCGGCGGACGCGGGGGTTCTCAACGCATGGGCGCGGCTTCCTCCGCTTGGTGGGCTCTTTTTTGCGCCAATCGCGGAATCACGACGGACGGCGTTTCGTCGCGCGTTCGGCCTCCCGGTGCCCACGCCAGGCCCCCGGGGCTGTCAGAAAACGACTCGGGGGCTGCCCAGGAACTCGTGCTGAGAAGGCTGCGGAGAGACGGCGACGGCGGCGGAGGCGGCGGTGGACGGCGCAGCCTGCAGGAGCGAGGGGCGAATGAGCACAGAAAGAGGGGGGGGAGAGACAGAGAGAGAGGGAGAGGCAGAGAGAGAGAGAGAAATATGCAAAAAAACAATTAAACTCTTCAGAAAGAGTTAACACACACACAGGGGTTGAGAGAGGGTAACATAGAGAAGGCGGAGCACACAGAGACAGAGACAGAGAGAGAAAGGGGAGCGAGAGAGAGAGAGAGAAACAACCCACCTATATATATATATATATATGTATATACATACACATACACCGATGAATGTCATTATGGTTTAAAAGGTGACAACAACAAAAACACAACAACAACAACAACAACAACATCATCAACAACAACAACAACAACAACAACAACAACAACCACAAAAACCACAACAACCACAACACCAACAACAACAACAACAACAACAACAACAACAACAACAACCACAACCACAACCACAACTATAACAACAACAACCACAACAACAACAACAAAATAAGGTGTGTGGGAAAAGAAGGTGTGAATCAGCGATAAGGGGAGAGACTGAGAGATAAAGAGAGAGAGAGAGAGAGAAAGAAAGAAAAAAACGTAGGGGATGGGATACATATATATATACACCTATATATATATATATATATCATGCATATCATAACAGATAAAGAGACAAATAAAGAAACAGAGCTAGAGACAGGGAGAGTAACAAACGAAGAATGAGAGAGAGAGGGAGGAGGGGGAGAGGCAAGAGCGAGAGAGAGAGAGAGAGACGCCCGCATGCGGCGGTGGCGGCGAAGCGTCTCCCCACACTGCTGGGGGCCTCCAGAAACTGGAAGCGCGCGAGGGTCATCACAGGCATGGCCTCGGGTGAGCGGCCGCTCTGCCAACCTCGACTTCCACCTCCACCTCGTTCTCATCGTCCTCATCCTCCTATCCCTCCTCCTCCGACCCCCCCTGCTCCTCCCCTTCTCCTCCTCCTCCTCCTCCTCCTCCTCCTCCTCCTCCTCCTCCTCCTCCTCCCCTCCTCTCTCCTCCCCTCCTACCTCCTTCTCCTCCTCCTCTCCTCACCTCCTCCTCCTCCTCCTCCCCGCCTCCGCCTCCTCCTCCTCCTCCTCCTCCTCCTCCTCCTCCTCCCTCCTCCTCCTCACTCCTCCTCTCCTCCTCCTCCCTCCTCCTCCACCTCCTCCCCCCCCTCCTCCCCCTCCCCCTCCTCCTCCTTTCTCTCCTCCTACTCCTCCTCTCCTCCTCCTCCTCCTCTCCTCTCCGATTCCGTCCGACTCCGACTCCGACTCCGGGACTCCGCCTCCTCCTCCGACTCCTCCTATCCTCATCCTCCTCCTCCTCCTCTCCTTCCTCCTCCCTCCTCCCTCCTCTCTCCTCCTACTCCACCTCCTCCTCCTCCTCCATCCCTCCCCCTCCCCCTCCCCTCCCCCTCCTCCCTCTACTCCCCTCCTCCTCCTCCTCCTCCTCTCTCTCTCTCCTCCTCCTCCTCCTCCTCCTCCTCCTCCTCCTCCTCCTCCTCCGACTCCGACTCCGACTCCGACTCCGACTCCGACTCCGACTCCGACTCCAACTCCGACTCCGACTCAGACTCCGACTCCGACTCCGACTCCGACTCCGACTCCTCCTCCTCCTCCTCCGCCGCCGCTGCTCCTCCCTGCTGCCCCCCCCCCGCCCCTCCCTCCGAGGAGCAGGAGGGCGGGCCCCGACATTCGCCAGCCGTGGCTGCTTCTAGACGATCGATACTCTGTCCGTGCCCCTGCTCACGCCTGGGCCCCACGAGGGGCCCGAGCGGCGGCATGGACGAAAATCTGACCTCAGGAGCCACGTTTTGTAATATGTGCCCTATTGCCCCCGGTGCCCAGACGGGGGGGGGCAGGCGCAGAGGTATGGATCGCACGTCGATCGCCGAGTCTCGGGCACGCGGGCTGACGGCCCTAAGGGGGGCCCAGAGCGCCCCCCAGAAGCCGAGCACGCGGCCTTCCCGGGGCCTCTGATCCCCCTACCCGGTCGGCGGAGCTGGCTGTGAGGCCTCTCCAATATGAAAACCAGTATGGAAACCACAACCACCACAACAACAACAACAACAACAACAACAACAACAACAACAACAACAACAACAACAACAACAACAACAACAACAACAACAACAACAACAACAACAACAACAACAACAACAACAATCAGTTTAAGACTGCTCGCCCTTTTCTGCTCGAGTGTCCGATAACGCGTATTTCCCAAACCCTCGATACCCGCCATCTTCGTCTTCGATCGAACCCCATTTGGGGGGTATACCTTTCTTCCCTGCAGGCCGGGCCCCGGCAAGCGGCGGGGCGGCCGCGGACCGTCGGCCTGGCCAGCGGCAGCGCTGATCGGCGGGGCGGCCGCGGACCGTCGACCCGACCCCAAGAGGGACGGACAGGGGACCGACCACGACGACGACGACGACGACACGACGACGACGACGACGACGACGACGACGACGACGTCGAAGACGACGGCGACGACGACGACGACGGCGACGACGAGCGAAAGCGAGAGCGAGAGAGAACGACAGCAGGGCCACGAAGGGCACGAAGTAGGCCACGAAGGGCGACAGCGGGGACACGAAGGGAATGCGTATGGGGCCACGAAGAGCGCGAACGAGCGGGGGCCACGAAGTGCAGATAATGCGGGGCCACAGAAGGCAACTATGGGGCCACTGAGGGTAGCAACTGGGCCACGTAGGACAGTGAGGGGGACACAAATGGCGACAGCGGGGCCACGGAAGGCATGCACATGGGGCCACACGGGCGCGAACGAGCGGGGGCCACGAAGGCATACGTATACTGGGCCGCGGAGGGCAAGGACGGGGCCACGGAGGGCAGTAACGGGGCCACGAAGGCAGCGAGGGGGCACGAAGGGCGACAGCGGGGCACGAAACGAACGGCGGGGGCCACGAGGGCATACATATATGGGGGGCCACGAAAAAGCAGCGGGGGGGGGGTGAGGGGGCCACGAAGGGCAGCGAGGAGGCCGCGAAGGGCTGCAACGGGGCCACGAAGGGCTGCGACGGGGCCACGAAGAGCAGCGGAAGGCCACGAAGGGCTACAACGGGGCCACGAAACAAAGCGAGGGGGCCACGAAGGGCTGCAACGGGGCCACGAAGGGCAGCGGGGAGGCCACGAGGGGCTGCACGGGGCCACGAAGGGAGCGTGGGGCCGCGAAGGGCTGCAAACGGGGCAACGAAGAGCATAACGCATACTGGCCGCGAAGGCAAGGACGAGGCCACTGAGGGGCAACGGGCCACGTAGGCACGAGGGGGCCACAAAGGCGACAGCGGGGCCACGAAGGGCATGCATAATGGGGCCACAACGGGCGCGAACGAGCGGGGGCCACGAAGGGCATACGTATACTGGGCCGCGGAGGGCAAGGACGGGGCCACTGAGGGCAGCAACGGGGCCACGAAGGGCAGCGAGGGGGCCACGAAGGGCGACAGCGGGGCCACGAAAGGCATGCCTATGGGGCCACCACGGGCGCGAACGAGCGGGGGCCACGAAGGGCATACATATATAGGGGCCACGAAAAGCAGCGAGGGGGCCACGAAGGGCAGCGAGGAGGCCGCGAAGGGCTGCAACGGGGCCACGAAGGGCTGCGACGGGGCCACGAAGAGCAGCGAGAAGGCCACGAAGGGCTACAACGGGGCCACGAAACAAAGCGAGGGGGCCACGAAGGGCTGCAACGGGGCCGCGAAGGGCAGCGGGGAGGCCACGAGGGGCTGCAACGGGGCCACGAAGGGCAGCGAGGGGGCCACGAAGGGCTGCAACGGGGCCACGAAACAAAGCGAGGGAGCCACGAAGGGCTGCAACGGGGCCACGAAGGGCAGCGAGATCCCGATTCTTAGGTAATCTGTGAGGGAGTCCTACACGTGAGCGCGACTCCTGGGTGCCTGGGTGTCGGGAGCGCGGCGATTGAGTAAATTACAAGAGTGTCCAACGAAAGGACGCTATTCTTCAGTAAATTGCAAGCAAATCTCCAGCGAGAGCGCGACTCCAGAGCGCCGGGAGAGCGATTCCTGAATAAAGTGTAAGGAAGTCCCAAGCGCGAGCGCGATTCCTGAATAAAATGCAAGGAAGTCTCGGGCGAGAGCGGGGGTCCTGGCTAACTTGTGAGGGACTCTCAGGCGGGAGCCGTTGTTGTTGTAACCCGGGGGCCAACGACACAATTTGACCCTCAAGATTTTCCCTGTCAAACAAAAAACAGGGTGCGAGCCCCGGGAAGGGCACTTCAATCGAGAAAAAACAATGTGCACTGGACGGGGGGTCAACAAGAGTTATATTCAGAAATGAGAATTCAACAACAACAACAACAACAACAACAACAACAACAACAACAACAACAACAACAACAGCAACAGCAACAGCAACAACACCACCACCACCACCACCACCAACAACAACAACAACAACCACAACCACAACCATAACAACAACAACAGCAGCAGCAACAACAACAACAACAATAACAACCAACAGCAACAACAACAACAACAACAGCGGCAGCAACAACAACAACAACAATAACAACCAACAGCAACAACAACAACAACAACAACAACAGCGGCAGCAACAACAACAACAACAGCAACAGCAACAGCAAGAGCAACAGCAACAACAACAACAACAGCAACAACAACAGCAATGGCAAAGGCACCAGCAACAGCAGCAACAACAACAGCAATCAAAAACAATTCGCAACAAAACAAGACAAAAAAACAATAAAACGAAAAAACAAAAACGCAGGGGCGCGGATTACCCCCGCTTCGGCGGGGGGAAGACTGAAGCTCTCCCGCAGAACGGGAGTCAGCGCGCCAGCCAAGTGCACCCGGGCGGCCACCGGGCGGCCACGAACGGCGCCCCACGCGCGCAGGGCCCCCGGCAGCGGAAGCCGGCGCACGGGGCGGCGCACGCGGCGAGCCGGGGGCGCCCCTCCGGCGAGAGCCTTGCAGGCCGCCAGCGCACGGGGCGGCCGCGGGGCGGCTGCAGAGGCCCACCAGCGGAGAAGCGCACGGGGCGGAGTCGAGGCCAGCGCACGGGGCGGCCACGAGGCGGCCCCGGGCGCCCCCGAGCGGAGAGGCTTCTCAAGCGCCAGCCAAGCACTCACTGGCGAAGTGGGAACGAGCCCCCTCCTCCTCCTCCTCCTCCTCCTCCTCGCCCTCCTCCTCCTCCTCTCTACTCCTCCTCCTCCTCCTCCTTTTCCTCTCCTCCTCCTCCTCCTCCTCCTCCTCCTCCTCCTCCTCCTCCTCCTCCTCCTCCATTCCTTCTCCTTATGAAGAACTTCTTCTTGTCGCACCCCAGGGCCTGTTTTCAGGCCGGGCTGGGCGTTTCGACTGAGACCCCCTCGCCATTTATGACTCTGAAGCTTTGAAAGTGACAACAGCTTCACAGATGGAGGGCGGGTGGTTTTCAAAATGTGGCTCTCGCCTCAGCGCCGTCCACATTCGTGTGTAAAGTTTGCAAAATTGTCACGGGTTGAGGGCGGGTGGTTTTAAAAATATGGCTCTCGCCTTTGCGCCGTGCACATTCGTTTTAAAAAACTGCATCAAGAGTTTTACGGATTGAGGGCGGTTCCTTTTCAAAACGTGGCTCTCGCCTTAGCGCCGCGCACATTCCTTTTGAAAATTTGCAAGAGTTTCACGGATTCCCATGATCAACGCACCAGAAATCGTGATCTTGAAGGATTCAGGATTACGCGGGTGCAACAGTTATGTTGATTCGCGGTGTTGAAGTCTCACAAATGACGCTCTGGCACGATTCCGGATCGTCAAGACGCAGCAGTCAAGTTGATACGTGGCGTTGAAATCCTCCCGAGAACAATGTTTCGGCATGCTTCAGGATCTTCAAACGACTGTCTTCCAACGAGGCAGTTCCCTCAATGGAAATGAACCCTTGTAGGGGCATATGAAGAGGGAGCTTGGAGGAAGGGTTAATTCAAACATCGTTGATGACTTTTGGGTTCACACTGGTCCTTCTCCTCCTCCTCCTCCTCCTCCTTCTCCTCCTCCTCCTCCTTCTCCTCCTCCTCCTCCTCCTCCTCCTCCTCCTCCTCCTCCTCCTCCTCCTCCTTCTCCTCCTCCTCCTCCTCCTCCTCCTCCTCCTCCTCCTCCTTCTCCTCCTCCTACTCCTTCTCCTGCAAGCACTGCTGGGAGAAGGGAAAACGTCCTTGCCCTCGCCGCCCTCGCCGTGGCGCTGCCGGCACGGCATCGGCCATCCAGACATGTATTGTTGGTATCGGCAGCAGCAGCGGCACAGGCCATCACCAGAAAAACAAGCACTCTGCAGAGGAGGAGAAGGAGGACGAGGAGGAAGAAAGGAGGAGGAGGAGGAGGAGTACGAGAAGAAGTATTGAAGATGGCGGTGGCGCGGCAACATGTTCGCTGCCCGCAGAGGAGGGTGGCGCGAACGGAGCGGTCTCGTCACAAGGCAGGGGCCTTCTTACAGAGGCCCGGGGGCTTCTAAGAGAGCCCCACAGGAGGCGGGAGGGCGCTTACGAAGCCCTCTGCCTGATGAGAAAGCCGCCCCCCTCACACCGCCGAACATGTTCGAAGACGTGAGCCCTGGAAGCCTCGAAGTGAACGTTGTGGACATCCTTCCGCAGCACATTCGACACCTCGCTTGCCCCCGAGAACTTCGCCAAGCTTCGTGCTGCCTCACCTTATCCCACATCTTCTCTGATAGCTTACCCCAACTGCCGATTGTTCTACATGCCCCTTGGCTACCATCTTTCCTTCAGCTGCTACTGATTGATCGAACACTGTTCCACGCCCTCCTAAATACGAAGTCCAGTATGTCAAGGACTTCAGTCTTCCAAATCAGAAGCCTATTCCCTGTGGCAGTTCAACTCATGCCTTCGACCCTGCTAGGTCACAATGGCCCCAGAGGAATTCCGACTTGACGTTCGCAGTATCGTCACAGTGCACAACGCAAAGAAAACAATGGATACTGAGGTGGCGTACACGCAAATAGCTGCATCTGTATTCGTCTTCATGCTCTGCGGCGGGGAAAATGTCTGGAGGGCCATTGCCTGTTGAACCGTGCGGCCGGCAAGCCATTGTGGGTGCATTTGCAATGAAAGGGGGAACTCCTCCTGGGGCCCTCTGCGACTGTCGGTGCCACCAGGGAGGGCAGGAGGGAGGCGGGAAGGGGAGGGGAACGGAGGTGGTGCGGCGGGCGGCGGTGGCTACAGCGGCGGCGGCGGCGGTGGCCACAGCTGATGGCGTCGGCGGCGGTGGTGTCGGCATTCCTGCAGGACTCCGACCGTTTGGGCACGACTACTGCGGCGCAACCGCCGCAAAGACGGTCTCCACGTCCACCGTCTCGTGGGCAGCGGCTGCGCCCAGGACCCCGCCGCCGCTCGAGGCCGCCAGTGGTTCCACGGGCCGGCTCGCCAGGGGGGGGGGAGGAGCGGAGGGGGTTGAGGGAGCGGGGGGGGGTGGGGGACGGAGGGAGCGGGGCAGAGGGAGCGGGGCAGAGGGAGGGAGGGAGGGGGAGCGGGGCAGAGGGCGGGAGCGGGGCAGAGGGAGCGGGGCAGAGGGAGGGGAGGGGAGGGAGCGGGGCAGAGCGGGGGGACGGGGGGGGAGGGAGCGGGGCAGAGGGAGGGGGGAGGGAGAGACTGAGCCGCCTGAACAAGCGTCCCGTTCACCTGGAGCGAGACGCGAGAAGTGCGGCAAGGTAGAAAATATGAGGAACCCGAGATGCGTGAAAGCAGCAACACGATTCGAGTAAGCCTGGGAAAAATGGAAAAGTGAAAAAAGTAGAACCATGCAAAAACACGAAAATCAGCTTTGAACAAAACATCCGAAAAGCGCGAAAAGTCAGACAACAATAACAACAACAACAACAACAACAACAACAACAACAACAACAACAACAACAACAACAACAACAACAATTACTAGCACGTGGGGACACTCCGTTCTCACCAGTGCCAGGGTTTTCATAGGAGGCGGGCAATACCCCCACTTTGTGGGGGGGCCGGTTCAAGCTCTACCAAATTTCCAAACGACTCTTCGCCACCACCCACACCCAGCTTCCCGCCCTATGACGTTCGGACACTTCACTTCGTGGCATGCGGACGACCGTGGCTACTATTCAGGGCCCCGCGGCCGACGACGACGGCGTGCGCGCGCGAAGAAAAAACGAATGTGTCCCGCATGGTATTATTTGACAGGGATGATGGCCCTGGCAGGTGCGCAACCGTTGTTGCAGAAGTTCGAAAAAGTTGCTCGCAAAAGCCCGTTTGACAGAAATGTTTAAAAAGTGTTGGGTTTCCTACGAATCCGCAAGAGCGCGCGGGATGAGATTTTGACATTTTTTTGTTGAAAAACCATTGGTTTTTTGATGTTTTTATGTTAAAATCGTTCCGAACACTAAGCTTTTGGAAGGATTTCGTCTTGCGCGCGCGAATGTCCACTTTACCTTATTTTTTGCAAGGGATTCTTGAAATTTGATTATATTAGAACAAGAAATGTCATTTTCTATTGTTTTTTGCAAGGGAAAGCGGATTACAACAAAACAACCGGATCCTGTACACACCCTCTTTTCTGAGGCTTCCTCACGAAAATGATGAAAATGTAGCTGCGGCCTAGGCGGCGCAGGGGGGGCGCGCACCAGGGGGCCCAACAATAATTATTCTTTAGAATAAATAATGTTCAACAACAACAACAACAACAACAACAACAACAACAACAACAACGACGACGACGACGACGACGACAACAACAACAAGTAGACATAGATCGAAAAGCGCGAAAGGCGCGAAACGTTAGACAGAAACCAATAGTTTTCACCAAAGGGAAAAAAGGCGCTAAAATTAGAAAAGCGAGACAAATGCGAAAATATGACAAATACGCATATGCAAAATGTGTGATGTGTACAAAAAATGCGGCAAGTGCGAAATGCAGAAAGATGCGGAGAAACAGAACGCGAAGCTTAGAAAAGCTGATTGCACATAAAGCAGAGTGTTAGCCGACGTGGACCAAAATCAGAGTCTTCCTGGCCACACATGTATATACATACATATACATACGTACATACATGCATACATACATACAGACTGACATACAAACATACAGACATACAGACATACATACATATATATATAAGAATAGTCAGATACCTATAAGTATGCATATTCATACACATATGCATACGAATATGCATATACATATTCAGATGCATACTAACATGTACATGTACACATGTATTACATAAACATACCAACACATACACATACATAAACATATACACATGTACCTAAAAAACTATTTGTATATACTACCTAAACTTATACATGCAGATAAACATGTACATGCATGTGTGCGTGACCTTATAACTATAAATACAGATACAGATACAGATACAGCTACATATGTATACGAACGTAACAACCCGCAATTGCGGACAAGAGTGAGGCGGGGACGTCGGCAGTTTGCGAGGCTCTGAGGAAGCCCGCCGCAAGCGCTTGATCTTTTCAAAGCATACAACGAGCCCGCCGCAGGCGCCGATTTTTTTCGCTAAAGCAATGTGGGTGGGTCGCGGGGTGGGTCGCGAGTGGGTCGCGGGTGGGTCGCGGATGGGTCGCAAAGGTCACGGGTAGGTCGCGGGTGGGTCGCGGGTGGATGGCGGGTGGGTCGCGGGTGGGTCATGGGGTGGGTCGCGGGGTGGGTCGCGGGTGGGTGGCGGGTGGGTCGCGGGTGGCTCGCGGGCAGGGTCGCGGGGGGGTCGCGGGCCGGGCCGCGGGCGGGTACCGGGCCGGGTCGCGTGGGGGACGACGACAACAAGCAAAAAACAAAAAACAAAAACAACAGCATCAACAACAACAACAACAACAACAACAACGGTAACAACAACACCAACAACAATAATGTTAAGACTGCTCGCTCTTACTGGCACGCGTGTTTTGCATTCTGTATACTCCAACCCTCGATACCCGCCCACCTCGTCTTCGATCGCACCCCCTTTCGGGGGAATATTTTCCTTGTCGGCCACTGACTGCAGTGCGAGAAACTCTCGAGCAAGATCGCCGTTCCTGAATTAAGGGGCCTCTCTGGCCAGGCCAAGGGCTCTCGGAATACGTGTTGAGAAATATCGAACAGGAACCTTTGTCGCCGTGTCTGGGCCTCCACCAACGTGCTTGAATTACGAAAAAGTTCGAGTGAGAGCGCTATTTTTGAGATCGGGGGCCTCTCTGGCAAGGGCCTCTGCGAATACATCTTGAGGAAGTATCGAACGGGAGCCCTTGTCGTCGCATTTGGGCCTCCACCAATTTGAGTGAATCGTGAGAAAGTCTCGAGCGAGAGCGCCGTTCTTGAGTTCGGGGGCCTTCGTGGCCAGGGGCTTTGAGTAAATCGTGAGGAACTATCAAGCAGGAGCGCTTGTCGTAGCTGGGCCCCCGCCAACTTGACTGAATTGCGACTGGGTCTCGAGCGAGAGCGCCGTTCCTGAGTTCGGGGGCCTCTCTGGCCAGGGTGTCTCGGGATAAATAGTGAGGAAGTATCGAGCGGGAGCCGTTGTCGTCGCAGCTGGGGCTCTAAGAGCCCACTTTCGACGGGAGCCTCGTTTTCAGAAAAAATCTAACCGGCGTCGCAGCGAGAGCGCCCAGAACCGTTTCCGATGATCAACAATAATAACTCTCTAGACATGTATGTATATGTATATATATATATGTATCAGAATGAAGGGGCCGACGGGTCTTTCACTGTCCCTGGGCGCGTGGCTGAAGTGAGGTTTTGCGGTGGGGATTGGATATTAATGTTGTTTGTTGTTTCGTGTTTGCTGTTTGTTGTTGTTTGTCGTCGCCGTCCCCCCCGCGACCCGGCCAAGGACCCGCCCGCGGCCCGGCCCACGACCCACCCGCGACCCGCCTGCACCCACCCGCCACCCACTTGCGACCCACCCGCGACCCACCCGCGACCCGCCCTGCGACCCATCCGCGGCCCACCCGCGTCTCACACGTGACCACCCCGCGGCCCACCCACATGTTTTAACGAAAAAATCAGCGCCTGCGGCGGGCTCGTTGTAGAATGTATAAACATGAGGCGCCTGCGGCGGGCTTCCTCAGAGCCTCATGAACTGCCGACGTCCCCACCGCCCCCTCACTCTAATCCGCAGCTGCGGGGTGCTACGTATACGTATATCAGAATGAAGGGGGCCGAACGGTCATTCACTGTCCGTGGGCGCCTGGCTGAACTGAAGTTTTGAGGTGGGGGCTGTTGTTGTTGTTGAACTCTCACTACTGAAGACTAAGTATTGTTGATCCCCCCTCCGGGGCACATGGTGCTTTTTCCCAATGAAGTGTCCTTCCAGGGGCTGGCACCCTGTTTTTTTATTAGGGAAGGTCCTGAGTATCAGAATTATGTTTTCGGCCCCATGTTTACAACAACAACAACAACAACAATCACTTTACCCGAACGCTCAGTGTTCTCACCAGTGCCAGGGTTTTCATGCGACGCCAGCCAATACCCCCACTTTGTGGGGGGGCAGTGCAAGCTCTACCAAATATCCACACGACTCTTCGCCACCACCCACACCCAGCTTCCCGCCCTATGACGTTCGGACACTTCACTTCGTGGCCTGCGGACGACCGTGGCTACTACACTGGCGTGGAGTACACACCCACAGAAGTTGTTAAGCCTACGTTCGTACACCCACAGAAGTTGTTAAGCGGGTAGAAATTTTGAAAAGTCGTGCAGGTGTTTTTCGAGGACCTACGGTGCGATTCGTGTGATTTTATGATGCGCGGTGCTAAAATTCTTAAGAAGCCCAATGGTTTTTGGAGATTTCGGCGTGCGCGCGCGAAGAAAAAACGAATGTGTCCCGCATGGTATTATTTGACAGGGATGATGGCCCTGGCAGGTGCGCAACCGTTGTCGCAGAAGTTCGAAAAAGTTGCTCGCAAAAGCCCGTTTGACAGAAATGTTTAAAAAGTGTTGGGTTTCCTACGAATCCGCAAGAGCGCGCGGGATGAGATTTTGACAATTTTTTGTTGAAAAACCATTGGTTTTTTGATGTTTTTATGTTAAAATCGCTCCGAACACTAAGCTTTTGGAAGGATTTCGTCTTGCGCGCGCGAATGTCCACTTTACCTTATTTTTTGCAAGGGATTCTTGAAATTTGATTATATTAGAACAAGAAATGTCATTTTATAGTGTTTTTTGCAAGGGAAAACGGATTACAACAAAACAACCGGATCTTGATGACATCGTATTACCTGAGGCTTCCTCACGAAAATGATGAAAATGTAGCTGCGGCCTAGGCGGCGCAGGGGGGCCGTGCACCAGGGGCCCCAACAATAATTATTCTTTAGAATTAATAATGTTCAACAACAACAACAACGGCTCCCGCCTGATATT